TCACATCGGCGTCTTCTAATTGTAACAGTCCTCACAGGGAACGTCACACCTTCTTTCATCTTCCTGGAGCTGATTGTTGGCTGAGTCCGCACCATTTTGGCTATTCTTCTATCCATTCCAATGGTAGTTTTTCTCTTTCTTCCGCGTCTTTCAGGTTTTGGTTTGGTTGCCATTTTAAAGCATTTGCCATCATTTTAACTGAGCAGCCGATCATTTTCTGCACTTCTTTATATGTTTTCCCCTCTCCAATCAACTGTTTAATCAAGGTACGCTATTCTTCTGAACAATGTCTGGAACGACCCATTTTCCTCAGAATTTCAGAGAGAAATGCACTGTAACCAGAATGTACAACATTTGCTGCCTTCCTTCCTTAAATAAGGGCAATAATTGCCACCTGAATCAGCAGCATGCATGTCATGACTGTGGGGTCTGTTGGATTTCTATTACTCTATTACACCTGCTAGGAAATTATTTGTCATGTAGAAATATCATTTCTACCAAAAACAGTGATTGATCCGGTTAGTGATGTCTGACTGCTATTATTTTGAACATAACTGTATATATATATATATATTTTTTAATTTTCTAAACAAAGGGCCAGTTTATTGTCCTCCAGATTTTAGGGGGCCGGACTGTGGCCACTGGAAGTAGAAATTGTCTTGGTGTCAGTGAGAGTAAACAATGCATGTTTGGTATTAGGAGGAGGAATAGTGCCCCACCACTAGTGTCAGTGGGAGGAATAGTGCCCCATGATTTGTATCAGTGGGAGGAAAAGTGTTCCATCATTGGTGTCAGAGGGAGGAATAGTGCCCCATCATTGGCGTCAATGGAAGGAATAGTGCCCCATCATTGGTGTTATTGGGAGGAATAGTGTCCCTTCATTGGTGTCAGTGGGAGGAATAGTGTCCCATCATTGGTGTCAGTGGGAGGAATAGTGTCCCTTCATTGGTGTCAGTGGGAGGAATAGTGCCCCATCATTGGTGTCAGTGGGAGGAATAGTATCCCATCATTGGTGTCAGTGGGAGGAATAGTGCCCCATCATTGGTGTCAATGTGAGGAATAGTGCCTCATCATTGGTATCAGTGGGAGGAATAGTGCCTCATCATTGGTGTCAGTGGGAGGAATAGTTCCCCATTATTGGTGTCAGTGGGAGGAATAGTGTCTTACCACTAGTGTCAGTTAGAGGAATAGTGCCCTATCATTGGTGTCAGTGTGAGGAATAGGGCCCCTATTATTGGTGTTAATGGCAGGAATAGTGCTCCATCATTGGTGTCAGTGGGAGGAGTAGTGCCCCATCATTGGTATCAGAGGGAGGAATAGTGCCCCATCATTGGTATTAGTGGTAGGAATAGTGCCCCATCATTGGTGTCAGTGGGAGGAATAGTGCCCCATCATTGGTATTAGTGGGAGGAATAGTGCCCCATCATTGGTGTCAGTGGGAGGAATAGTGCCCCATCATTAGTGTCAGTGGGAGGAATAGTGCCTCATCATTGGTGTCAGTGGGAGGAATAGTGCCCCATCATTGGTATCAGTGGGAGGAATAGTGCCCCATCATTGGTATCAGTGGAAGGAATAGTGCCCCATCGTTGGTGTCAATAGCAGAAATAGTGCCCCATCATTGGCATCAATGGAATAAATAGTGCCCCATTGTTGATGTTAGTAGCAGGAATTATGTCCCATTGTTAGTGTCAGTGGGAGGAATAGTGCCCCATTGTTGATGTTAGTAGCAGGAATATTGCCCCATTGTTGGTGTCAGTCGGAGGAATAGTGTCCAATTGTTGATGTCAGTAGCAGGAATATTGCCCCATTGTTGGTGTCAGTGGGAGGAATAACGTCTTATGTTGGTGGAAGAACACGTGCTCCATGGGCCAGATAAAGGCAAGCAGGGGGCCACATCCATCCCTCGGGCCGCAGTTTGGAGACCATTGATCTATATGATGAATCACTTTAATATTTTGGATTAGCCCAACTATTACCCACACAGATTCCCACACTGGGGCAGCCATTGCAGAGTACTTGCTTACAGAGGTACATCAGAGGTAGAGTTCCTCTTTAACCCAGCTGATAGATCTGATAATATTCACGTGTACAGAAGTGGGAATCTCATCCAATGCAGCAAGCGGAGACAAACCACCAAACAATGGCCACTTGTCCACAGGTATCAATGTTGACAAATAGTTCCTTATATATATGCCAGCAACAAAATGAAACATTGAAAACACTTTTCAGATATCCGCTGATAAGGAGCAGGTTCTTCAAGTCTGGAATATAATTACAATCAGTCAGAAGAGCAGCCAGTGGAAAAATATCAGAAAAACACGAGGGACACCAAACAGCTTAGGTGTCATAAAGATCTTGAGGATTGGGGAGAAAACAAGATTTTTGATCTTACCACTTGTAGAGGCAGGAGCAGATTGAGGCCCCCGAAAGAAATGGTGCATCCTCATCAGATAGTGAAGGAGATCATTCAGGTATATCAGTTACTTTTTTAGAGGAACAAGGAAGTAGAAAAGCGGAGGTCAAACAAAAGAAAGATCCAGATCAGGGCCCGAACCTGGACAGAAACACCAAGATAAGAACAGAAAACAAGAGAAGATTGTTAAGAAGAACGAGGATCTAGAAAAACACATGGACCAAGGAATGGATTCCAGTCAGGGGCGGACTGACAACTCATGGAGCCCCTGGGCAATAGGGGATCATGGGGCCCCTGTGTCCTTGTCCAAACTCAAAAAAGCCTATGAAAAAGGTACCAGGGGCATCTCATGGGGCCCCTTACTGACCCCTGGCCCTCGGGCAGTGCCCGAGTTTCCAAATGATCAGTCCGCCCCTGATTCCAGTAAAAAACAGCTGGGGTCAACACAAGATCTTAAGATTGTCTTTGTCCAGATTCCCTTTGGAGGGAAAACATATCAGGCTCCTCCAGAATGGACTCTTCTTTTCCCCCACTGACTCAATGAATGAATCTGAGGTCTTTAAATCAAAGTTCCACCCAAAAGTGGAAGCTCCACTTATCCTCTTCTCCCCTTCCCTGCTGCCACATTTACCACCTTTTGGTGGGGAGGGCATACCTGGTTTTGACAGGTACCCACTCCCACTTCCGCCAAATTTTGCCGTGGAGCTAAGACAAAAGTTTGCCCCCCCCCGCAGCCCTCACTTCACAGGTCCCAGAGGACTGCGGCCCATTCCAAAGCGTAGCGAGCTTCGTGCATGCGCAGTAGAAAACTGGCTGTGAAGCCACAAAGCTTCACCGCTGGCTTTCCTTAGACAAGATGGCGGCGCCAACATCCAACACCTGATTGAAGAATCTGCTCAGGGTGAGGACACCGCTGGATCCCTGGACAGGTAAATGCCCTAATATTCAAAGTCAGTAGCTACAGTATTTATAGCTGCTGAATTGAATTTTTTTTTGGGGGGGGGGGCAGAACTCTGCTTTAAGGACCTGAATTTTTTCCTTAGGAAAGTTGTATTTAAGTCCCTTTCAAGAGTCAGTCAAACTGACACAGGCCTAACTACAAGGGAGAATGCGGTGGATGCTGAGGATGAACAGGCTCTAAATTACATATTTATTTATTTATTTATTTCAGGTACTTATATAGCGCCGTCCATTTACGCAGCACTTTACATATATATTGTACATTCACATCAGTCCCTAACCCTCAAGGGATGTACAATCTAAGGTCCCTAACCCTCAAGGGGTGTACTTTGTGGGAAGAGTTTGGGGATGGCCCCTTCCTGTTCCAACATGACTGCATACCAGTGCCCAAAGCAAGGTCCATAAAGACATGGAGGAGCCAGTTTGGGGTGGAGGAACTTGACTGGCCTACACAGAGTCCTGACCTCACAAATGAAATGTGCTTCTGGAAGAATGGTCCAACCTTCCCATAGACACCCTCCTAAACCTTGTGGACGGACTTCCCAGAAGAGTTGAAGCTGTTATAGCTGCAAAGGGCGGGGCCAACTCAATATTGAACCCTACGGACTAAGACTGGGGGGCCATTAAAAGTCATGTGTGTGGAAAGCCTGGCGGCCCAATACTTTTGGCACCATAGTGTATAAATTATACTTTCACGTCAGTCCCTAACCCTCAAGGGGTGTACAATCTAAGGTCCCTAACTCACATTCATACATACACATACTAGGGACAATTTAGACAGGAGCCAATTAACCTACCAGCATGTCCTTGGAGTGTGGGAGAAAACCGGAGTACCCAGAGGAAACACATGCAGGCACAGGGAGAACATGCAAACTCCATGTAGGTGGTGCCGTGGTTGGCATTCAAACCAATGACCCTCATACTACCAGGTGGAACTGCTGACAATTTAGCCACTGTGCTGACCTAATGGGTTTGCTTGGTGAAAATGAGGATCAGGTAATGGATGAGGAAAAAACTTAATTTGTACCAAAAATTAAACTAAATATCAAATACAAGAAATTGCCCTCACTTCATGCCAACAAGTGGGTTAGTCTCTTTTGTTGGAGCTGTTCACGTTGACCTTAAAAAAATTAAACAGTATGGATAGGGTCTGAGATGATTTGACTAGGGATGAGCAAAGGCCCTGGAGGAACTAAGATCTGCCCCTAACCTGGTCATCAAGAACAGTGACAATGGGCGATGAAGATTATGTAGCTGAGGTTATGAGACAACTTGGGGATCAAAATATACATTAAGCTATCAGAGGACAAGGGGGCACTCTTAATGTTTGGAGAAAAAAAATGTAACCTCCAAACTTGGAAAGGTTTCTTCACAGTAAGAGCTGTGAAAATGTGGAATAGACTCCCTCAAGAGCTGGTTGTGGCACAATGTAGTCAGGCAAGTACCGTTCTCCTGGCAACCATCAAACCCAGACACGTCCATCGGATTTTCAGACAGAGAAGCGTGATTGGTCACTCCAGAGAACACGTCTCCTCTGCTCTAGAGTCCAGTGGTGGCGTGCTTTACACCACGGCATCCGACGCTTTGCATTGCACTTGGTGATGGAAGGCTTGGATGCAGCTGCTCAGTCATGGAAACCCATTCCATGAAGCTCTCTACGCACTGTTGTTGGGCTCATCTGAAGGCCACACCAAGTTTGGAGGTCTTTAGCTATTGACTCTGCAGACAGCTGGTGACTTCTGCGCACTGTGCGCTTCAGCATGCGCTGACCCCGCCCTGTCATGTGACGTGACCTACCACTTGGTGGCTGAGTTGCTGTTGTTCCCAGTCGCTTCCACTTTGTTATAATCTCACTAACAGTTGAGCGTGGAATATTTAGTAGCCAGGAAATGTCACGGATGCCCAGGTGACCACCTATCACGGGACCACGCTTGGAGTCACTGAGCTCCTGAGAGTGACCCATTCTTTCACCAATGTTTGTAGAAGCAGTCTGCATGCCTAGGGGCTTGATTGTATACACCTGTGTCCATGGAGGGGATTGGAACGCCTGAATCACATGATTGGAGGGGATTGGAACACCTGAATCACATGATTGGGAGGGGATCGGAACACCTGAATCACATGATTGGGAGGGGATCGGAACACCTGAATCACATGATTGGGAGGGGATTGGAACACCTGAATCACATGATTGGGACGGGATTGGAACACCTGAATCACATGATTGGGAGGGGATTGGAACACCTGAATCACATGATTGGGAGGGGATTGGAACACCTGAATCACATGATTGGGAGGGGATTGGAACACCTGAATCACATGACTAGGAGGGGATTGGAACACCTGAATCACATGATTGGGAGGTGATTGGAACACCTGAATCACATGATTGGGAGGGGATTGGAACACCTGAATCACATGATTGGGAGGGGATTGGAACACCTGAATCACATGATTGGGAGGGGATTGGAACACCTGAATCCAATGATTCGGAGGGCGGGGCCAATACTTTTGGCAATATAGTGTATATTTGGGTGCCATCAGCAAAGTGCAGAGTTTTGTGGCCACCTTGTACCTTAATCACTATACTAAATGGCCCACATTCAGGAGATATTCATGACACCTACCTGAAGCTACCTGTAGGTACAAAGTCTAAGCTTCCACCCCTGTGAGCCGGAAGAGTAGGCACGGTGAAGGTACGCACATATTGACCATCATAGACTCCCAGACTGGGGCAGCCATTGCAGAGTACTGGCGTACACTTATAAGAGGTAGAGTTCTCCTTGAATCCAGCAGATGGATGAGATTCCCACTTCTGTACACGTGAATATCATCAGATCTAATGTAGCAAGTGGAGAAAAACCACCAAACAATGGCCGCTTGTCCACAGGTATGAATGTTGACAAAGAATCCCTTCTATAGTCTGTATCCCAGTGAGAACACCTTGCGGACATGCGCTGGCAAGGAACAGCGTGTTCCGGTCCCGCACCGATCTCATAGAATGGCAGCCAGTCAGAGCGCCATTATCATTGCATAACATGTCCCGAGGAGATCATGTGGCGTGGACACGTATCCAACAAACACTCTCATGTCAATAGGATGAGCTGATGTACAATGAAAGCCAATAGATTTAGCATCTCAGATAACATTTTGGGTGGGGGTGGGCACGTGTCCCGGAACATATCAGGCGTTTGGGGACACCCCTATGCGTTCGGCTGTTAAATTGGGACCAGTGGTGGTGTCCATGCATCCCAATAATCATGAACGGGACCCGCATGGAACTGCCTGTACATGGATATAAGGGACACCCGGGAATCACGTGTGCTCCTTCACACAGATGTATGGATGGGTACACGGGTGTGAATTAGGACAAGAATGGGGAAAAGTTACGGGGTAATAGGAAGTGAGGCTGAACTGGATGGACTGGTGTCTCTCTTCAACCTCAACAAATACACCGGGATGCAGCGCTGTGTGCCCACCTTGTACCCAGGGCGGCTGACTATTTGGAAACTCAGGCACTGCCCGAGGGCCCGGGGTCAGTAGGGGGCCCCATGAAATGCCCCTGGTACCTTTTTCATAGGCTTTTTTGAGTTTGGGCAAGGACACAGGGGTCCCATGATCCCCTATTGCCCGGGGGCCCCATGAGTTGTCAGTCCGCTCCTGATTGTACCTTAACCACTTTCCCATCTGCCCTATAGAAGATGTACTGCTACAGGGAGGTGGGGCTGTGCAAAATCACGTATATATATATATGTAGGGGGGCGTGCGTGCGTGTTCCATACCCGCACCACTATAGGCTCCTCGGCATGTCAATCACCGGGCCTCAGCTGTCGATCACTGGGTCCCAGACGGTGATTCCCCACTGGCACCCGGCGATCGCCGAGTATCACTGACAGGGGAGAGGTCTGTATGTAAGCATTCCTTCCAGTGACACCACTGATGAAGCATTTCTGCAGCCACAACCACTTTCTGCTTTGATGGGGTTGGAGGTCCACGCTGACCCCGTGACATCTGCCAGTAATGTTACAGTTCATCATATCATTGCATGTCTGTAGGTACCGTATCCTCCACACCTCATAATCGGGGACTCCTCCATGTCTTCCATCTGCATGGAGGAGGAGTGTTCTGCAGCACACATTGTAGTCGCTTTAAAAAAATAAAGGAAAAACCCCCCCCCCATCATTTGGACCTTGTTCCCTCGCTGCTACTACTGACACCGTTTTCCTCTATGCTCCGCTCCCTCACTCATATCTTCTATCTCTTCCTCTCTACTGACACCTTCCCCTCCCCTCTGAAGCACGCATGATCGCCCCCATACATCCAAAGTCCTCCCTGGACCCCCCCCAGCCTGAAACACATCTCCGCTCCCCATTACCTCTAAACTTCCAGAACCCTCCAGAATCTACAACTGTCTGACCTCTGACCTCACTGACACCAACCTTCGTCACCACTCACAGTCTGCCTTGTGCGCATGTCATTGTATATATCGTGTGCCCGTGTATGACATTGTATATATGGTGTGTCCGTGTGTGACATTGTATATATGGTGTGTCCGTGTATGACATTGTATATATGGTGTGTCCGTGTGTGACATTGTATATATCGTGTGTCCGTGTGTGACATTGTATATATCGTGTGTCCGTGTGTGACATTGTATATATCGTGTGTCCGTGTGTGACATTGTATATATCGTGTGTCCGTGTATGACATCGTATATATCGTGTGTCCGTGTGTGACATCGTATATATCGTGTGTCCGTGTGTGACATCGTATATATCGTGTGTCCGTGTATGACATTGTATATGTTGTGTGTCCGTGTGTGACATCGTATATATGGTGTGTCCGTGTGTGACATTGTATATATGGTGTGTCCGTGTGTGACATTGTATATATCGTGTGTCCGTGTGTGACATTGTATATATCGTGTGTCCGTGTGTGACATCGTTGTATATATCGTGTGTCCGTGTGTGACATCGTATATATCGTGTGTCCGTGTGTGACATCGTATATATGGTGTGTCCGTGTGTGACATTGTATATATCGTGTGTCCGTGTGTGACATCGTGTATATATGGTGTGTCCGTGTGTGACATCGTATATATCGTGTGTCCGTGTGTGACATTGTATATATGGTGTGTCCGTGTGTGACATTGTATATATCGTGTGTCCGTGTGTGACATTGTATATATTGTGTGTCCGTGTATGACATTGTATATATCGTGTGTCCGTGTGTGACATTGTATATATCGTGTGTCCGTGTGTGACATTGTATATATCGTGTGTCCGTGTGTGACATTGTATATATCGTGTGTCCGTGTATGACATCGTATATATTGTGTGTCCGTGTGTGACATTGTATATATCGTGTGTCCGTGTGTGACATTGTATATAGAGATGAGCGAATCGAACATGGCGAAGCGGAATTCGTTTCGAATATCAGGAAAAATTCGATTCGCGCCGAATCCGAAAATTAGCAAACTTCGGATGCACGAATCGAATTTTCCCGAAAATGGCGGCGACATGTGTGGCGACGGAGCGGGGATCTCTGGGAAGGCGCGCAGACAAGGCGCGCTGACCCATAATGAATTCATTCATGACATGTGATCGCATTAGCCAATCAGCAGCCAGCCAGCCAGCACTGTGTAATGGTGGAGCTATAAATTGCGGCCATCTTAGAATTCTCCATTAGCCTCCGGTCATTCAAGAGAGACAGACCTGTCTGTATTAGGGACAGAGTTAGGGCCAGAGAGACTTTAGGGCCACAGAATCGTTACTTAGGGACACAGAATCGTTACTTAGGGACACAGAATCGTTACTCAGGGACACAGAATTGTTACTCAGGGACAGACACAGAATTGTTACTCAGGGACACAGAATTGTTACTCAGGGACACAGAATTGTTACTGAGGGACACAGAATCGTTACTCAGGGACACAGAATTGTTACTCAGGGACAGACACAGAATTGTTACTCAGGGACACAGAATTGTTACTCAGGGACACAGAATTGTTACTGAGGGACACAGAATCGTTACTCAGGGACACAGAATTGTTACTCAGGGACACAGAATTGTTACTCAGGGACACAGAATCGTTACTGAGGGACACAGAATCGTTACTCAGGGACACAGAATTGTTACTCAGGGACACAGAATTGTTACTCAGGGACAGACACAGAATTGTTACTCAGGGACACAGAATTGTTACTCAGGGACACAGAATTGTTACTCAGGGACACAGAATTGTTACTCAGGGACACAGAATTGTTACTGAGGGACACAGAATCGTTACTCAGGGACACAGAATTGTTGTTACTCAGGGACACAGAATTGTTACTCAGGGACACAGAATCGTTACTCAGGGACACAGAATCGTTACTCAGGGACACAGAATCGTTACTCAGGGACACAGAATCGTTGAATTAAAGAGTATGTCAGACAACACGCAGAGGAGTGGCAGAGGAGGCAATGTTTCAGGAGCGAGCAGACGTGGCAGCAGAGGAAGGGGTCGAGGCAGCACTAGTCGCAGCCAGAGGCCAGTGCTCCCGGTGTCATCCAGCGGTCGTGTCTCCACCGACAACCCTGCCGTCATCGATTGGTTGGCTCGGTCGTCTTCCTCTTCCCAGGTCACCTCTGACACCTACAGCCAACGGTCGGTGGGTACGTCAGACACAACCGTTAGTTGGGCATGGCCCGGGAGCAAGCCCACTGAAATCACGTGTCCTCTACCTGCCCCTGTCCTTTTGGTGTTCCCTCACCAAGCGAAGTATCGCATGCTGTGGGCTCAGCCCCACTGTACAGTGAGGAAGAGCTAACAGAGGGCGGTCAGGAACGGGGGGAGACATCCGCCTCTTCAGCAGCCAGGCGAAGAAGTACTGGCGAGGAGAGTGGCTCGGTAGCTGGTCTAGAGACAGGTCTGTCTCCTGACCCACACGCAGCCGAGGGGGCTAGTAATGAGGCGGAGACCCTAATTGATGATGATGAGGCTGATCGCACTTGGCAGCCTCGTCGTCATCTGCCAGGCCCGTAATCTGCCATGGGCCCCCGTACCGACTCCTCATGCTGCTGCCAGGGCCCGTAATCTGTCATGGGCCCCTGTACTGCCTGCTCATGCTGCTGCCAGGTCCAGAGTGTGTCATGGGTCCCTGTACGGCCTCCCATTGCTGCTGTCTTCATCGCCACACTCTGCCATGTGCCACTTTCAGGTCTCCTCACACTGCTGGTGGGTTCCATTTTGTCATAGGGTGCTGGCAGATTACGGGCCTCCCATTGCTGCTGCCAGGCCCGTAATCTGCCATGGGCCCCCGTACCGACTCCTCATGCTGCTGCCAGGCCCGTAATCTGTCATGGGCCCCTGTACCGCCTCCTCATGCTGCTGCCAGGTCCAGAGTGTGTCATGGGTCCTGTACGGCCTC